TTATTCCTTACCTAAATGGAGTGGCTTTCTAGACCACAGGCTCCTGTCTTTTTTGTGGAGGAACTAGGTAAAAGGACTTCCACTTCTAGGCTTCTAGTGTTTCTGAGTTACCACTCTATGACCTGTGCTGTCTTTTATGCTTTGGATATTTAGTGTCCCTGGAAAAGCTTGTGTGTTAATTCAAGCATATTGAAGGTGAAATCATTAGATTATGAGAGCAATAACTTAGTAGGCTAATTCTTTTGAAGGAATAATAATTTGAATACATTTTTGGGGTGACAAGAGCAGGCAGGTGGAACATGTCTGGAAAAGTAGTTCATCAAGCATGTATCTTTGGGGATTGTATTTTGTCCTTGGATCTCCTTTCTCTCTTTTCTCCTCTCTTCTATTTGCTTTTTTTCTCTCTCTCTTTCCCTTCTTGCCTTGCAAGGGCTGACAAACTTTCCTCTATGATGTTCTGCATCATATAGAACTCTAAGCAAGGGAATTAGCTGACTATGAACTGAATATCTAAAACTGGGAGCCCACAACTTTAACTCCTCTAAGTATTCTTATCTGGTATTTGGGTCATGGTAATAGCAAGCTAACACACCCTGATTTGATAAACTGCTTCTGTATGTGGACACTGCAAGTGTTGAATTCTGCAAAGGCAACTCTTTTAGCTCAGGATGGCAGGAATAAATTTGTTTAATAATCTGGATGTAACCATGAATGGTACTTAAGCATTAATGGGAACACAGTGGCTGGGTTTAAGTCTATCCTGAATTCAGGGTGATTTTAATATTGCTTAGTAATATAGTTTGATACTTGGCTGTATATCTAGGTGAGTTAACAACCTCCTTTTGCTCCTGCAAGGGGAGTATGTACACTGATTACCTGGCTGAAGTTTTTCTTCTCTGCTTCTTGCAGCAAATCTCAGGGAGTACTACCACCCTTATGATAATATCTGTCTTTTTTTCAGAAAAAGGCAACAGTCTTCTATTCCCTAAATTTCTTACTTAGAAATGACTCATATGATTTATCAATATTCAACATGACAGAATTTAAGATTTTAGGCAACATGAGGAATATATTTATAAACATTTATCTTTTCTATTTACCTAGTCTTTCTTTAGCAGTTATACCTCCATTACTAAGATAACAGACAAGCATTTCAAGTTATTACTTGGTGAAAGAAGACCCCTAAAAGTTAACTTGATACACATGATACCCAGGAGTGATAATGGAATATGAATTGACCAGTTTATTAAAGTACAGTTCAATCCAAATTATATTTATGACAAAATGGAAGAAGCTAAGATAACATCTTTATACTACTAAACTTTAACATATCCATTTGCAGTCTTATGAAGTTTGTGGAACAATTTTTTT